ATTTTTGCCAAACTCTACTCCTAACTCATAGGGTCGCTATGAGTCAAAATGGACTCAGACGGAAAACAGAAATCAAGTTTTCTACCAAACTGTTGTATACTTTCTTGTCTCTTGTAGCTAACATGCCACTATATTGCTTTCGTATTTTTAAATCGGGAATAATATGCACATATATCTTTGGTCTTCCTATGTCATGGGAATATCATGGCTTATCTTTCCTTTATTTCCAAAATTTCTAAAAAAAAACATGCATTGCCCTTTCTAATTAGAGTAGGTAGCAGTAGGGTCGCGGGGGGTAGGGGGTGGGTGGGGTGTGTGTGTGCCAACAGGGACCATCAGCAGACTTTATGGGGCGCTAATAGACTTGAATGGTTCTCAATGCACTGTCAAGATCATTCCCACTGTGAGGATACATGCACAAATGTATTAGGATTTGTGAACTCAGCGTTCCTTGAACAATTTCCTGATTATTTGCCAAGAGAGAGACAGTGGACTGGACACAAAAGGAGTTTTCTGTCTCGGAGATATTTTTCACTGTAACTTATTCTTTTAGCAACATAATAATTATTAAACTGTGCTTACTGGATTTGCTGGTCCCTGATTCACACTGTTATATTTCCATTCCCCTTAGCAGCTCAACTGCTTCTTACGGCAGGACCTATTTTACATACAGAGTGGCCTCGGCAGGGTCTAGCCCCAATGGTTCTAGGAATCACAGGAACACGGTATTTTGAAACTGGCCAGAACCTTAGTCATCATATATACAAACCTTCCTATTGAATAACAAACCTGCAAATGAAAACCTAAGGTCTACATCATTAAATACATGGAAATGTCACAGTATAAAAATAAATCTTCCAAAATAAAAGGGGCAGCAAAATATCTACATTACAAGTGGTTAAGTAGTTAAAAAAGAAGATACATAGATTCAAACAATCCCTTAAAGGGACTTCCACTTTCAGCTCCAACACATAACTTGGAAGTTGTCACTTTTGTCCTTTCAATACAAAGATGAACAAATGAATAGGAATGTCTTTTTGTGGACAAACCACAAGCACGGAGCCCGGAGAGACAGTCCAGCACGTTATCCATGACCTGCTTATCTGAAGTAGAAGCTACTGGAGCCGTAAACTGGCAGGAAGAGTGAAACGGGAATTTTGACAAGTTGTAGAGGCTGAATGTTACTTAGATTGAGAGCGAGGAATGTAATCTTTGAGGACCATAATGAATTATGGGTAATACTGAAAAGAACAGCAATTCCAGATCCACAATTGTGCTCCTGTGGAACCTGTACATAGAATACCGCATGGTTTAAAATCAGCAAAGGTGGGCATCCGGGTTTTACCCTTTCGCCATATTTGTTCAGTCTGAATGCTGAGTAAACAATCCAAAAAGCTGGATTATATGAACAAGAACATGGCATCAGGATTGGAGGAAGGCATATTAGCAACCTGCAACGTACAAATGACACAATCTTGCTTGTTGAAAGTGAAGATAATTTATTGGTGAAGATGGAAGACAACAGGCTTCAGAATGGATTAAAACTCAATATAAATAAAAGTAAAATCGTCACAACTGAACCAACAGGTAACATTACAATAAATGGGAAAATGATTGAAGCTGTTAAGAATTTATTTTACTTGGCTATCTACAATGAATGATCATGGAAGTAGCAGTAAAAAAATTCAAATAGCATGTTGCATTGGGAAAATATGCTGCAAAAGACCTCTTAAAAGTACTAAAACACAAAGATGTCACTTTGAGAACTAAGGTGTGCCAGACCTAAGCCAGGGGATTTCCAATCGTTCCCACATGCATGCTGGAAAGTGGGAAACAAATAAGGAAAGCTTATTCATACCTTTGAATTTTGGTGCTATGAAGAATATGGAACATGAATCCATGCCTTTGGGTTATGCTGTTGTTAAGAATAACGAATATTCTATGGACTGCCAAAAGATTGAACAAATCAGTCTTGGAAGAAGTGCAGTGGAAAGCTGCTTAGAAGCAAGGATGGCAAACTTCACCCCATGTCCTTTGGACATGTTATCATGAGGGACTAGTCCTGGAGAAAGACAGCATGCTTGGAAAAGGAGCAGGTCAATAAAAAAGAGGAAAGAAAGCCTTCCGTGAGATGGACTGTCACAGTGGTCTCAATAACAGGGGCAAGCACAGCAACACTTGTGAGGGCGTCACGGTGTCTGGTCTAGTGTACGTGGCATCAGTACGAGTCAGACCGACTTGAAGGCACCTAACAACACTGTAACATAAGTAACCACCCAGAGAATACGGTATTGAGAAGTAATATAACAGACAAAGCAATTACAGAAAAATAAAAAAAATGCTATAGAGGGAACAAACTTAACAATTAAACTTTTAAGACCATTTATAATAATAAGGTACCATATCTACTTGTATAAGTGAACCTGAATATCAGCCAAGGCTCCTAATTTTACCACAAAAGCTGCATTAAAAATGTGCTGAAAAACTCAGCTTATACACGAGTGAGATAGTTTATTGTGCCAGCCTGGCTGATATTCAGGTTCACTTATTCAAGGATCTGGGAATTGTTTTGGGGCATTTTACGGGGCTTAATTCTTAACGACAGGTTGTACATGAGTTGGATGCTTGTAACCCCAGGATTGTATGCATTGGTTCAATGATGCATAGTAAGGGGCAGAGCCGAATTTAGACCCAGGAAGTAGGTTTCAAAGTCACACTCTTAATCAGTAAATAAGTACCCCTCTATTAACCAACTATAGTAAATGGTCTAGGTATATGATTACTTTTGAAGACCATATTTATCCGACTTGCACTGAAAGCAAAGGTTCACCAACACGGCCATGCTATCTTTCATGGAAGGGGTCCGGAAGGGGCAATGGTTATTACAGGGTTCAGCTGCAATCTGAAATTCTGGTGGTTTGAACCCACCAGCCACTCTGATTGAGAAAGGAGTGGCCGTCAACTCTTGCAATGATTTACAGCCTTGAAAACCCTATAGGGCAGTTCTATCATATGAGGCACTATGGGTTTTGGGGGGACATTTTGTGGATTACTATCCTCGAAAACATTTAACAATGAATGAATATACATTTGCTGGTACAAAAAGTTTAATAAAAATTTAAAATAAGTTTATGTGTCTAATGGATACACAATAAAATATATTCTATTTCTTAAAAATTCAAGTACCACAACTCCTCACATATCTACTATCTTCTTCTCTGACATTTTTTCATTTATGACCATAATCGCTCTTCTAAGCAAGAACAAAATACATCTGGCAGGAACAAACACCGAAGTGTGTGGTGAATATAATGCTGGTCTTAACAGCTAACTTGGCTGGGCCGTGATTCTCATGGTTTGGAAGTTACATAATATTGGAACTCAGCAGTTATAATGTAGTTATCCTTCATTTGCATAAGACCCTGATTTTCACAGAACACTGATTTTTGTAGAACTCTTTGCTCTTTGCAACCGAGCCATGTTGACAAGTGCGGAGAGAGCAGAAACGGGACAGGCACTGACTACAACAGTAGGTACTATTTCCATGTTCCCCTTTCTTTAGCAGTGATGCAGGCAGCAAAGCATGATTATGTAAAGTCACTACCTTTATCCAATTTTCTAGCTCTAGATAGCTTCTCTTGCGATCTCCTTCTCAGTTCGAGGACCGGAATACAAGCCAATGCTTTCTGCTGGAGAAGAAGGTTCTCATAGATCAGCACATGCTGAATGTTGGACTGAAGCATTTTTAGAATGGATGAATTAGCAGTAACCTAATAGAAAAAAAAATGACTGAAATTAGCTTTTATCCATGTATTACAAAAATAACTTATAAAAAATTGTGGTTCTATGATACCTATGAGTTGTATCAATTCAATGAAACATAATCATTATACAACACTTTGATAACATTAGCATTAAGAAACAGGCGCACCTATTTTTACCTTCTGTAGATGAGTATATTATATTATAGAAGATAATATAAGGCTATGCTGAATTGTTGACCAGAGCTTAGATCAAGATATTGCTCTAAGAAATGAACTTGTCATCCCCTGGCACTTCAAATCACTGAAAAAGTAATAATGTTTAAAGTCTAGGCATTAAGGACCCCTAGTGGTACAATGGGTTAAGTGTATGTTGGGGTGGTAGCTGAAAGGTTGGCTGTTCAAATCCACCAACGACTTTGCAGGAGAATGATGAGGTTATTGGCTCCTGTAAGCCTTGACAGTTTTGGAAACCATACAGAGAAGTTCTACCCTATTCTGCCACTATGAGTTGGAATCAGCTTGATGGCATTAGTAAACAGTACTATCAAAACAAAATCCAGTGCCGCAGAGCTAATTCCGACTCATAGCAACACTACAGATCAGGGTAGAACTTCCCCTGTGGGTTTCTAGGAGGAAGCCTAGTTTTCCCCTTGGAAACAACTGGTGGTGTCCAATTGCTGACCTTGTGGTTAGCAGCCCAATGCATAACCCAATGAGCCATCAGGGCTCAAAGAGGATCAGAAAGTATAAGAAATTCCTTTACAAGGAAAGGCAGGTGCAAATAGATTAAAGAACTGTATCACAGCAACACGTCCTTCAGAGAGAGTTAACACAAAGTTAAAACAAAACACCCAGGGTAGAGGAGCCACAGGATGGATATACAAAGCAGGAAAGGGTTTTGGGTCAATCATTACAGAAAACAGTTGGATATACACTGTGTTGTTTCTGACAGGAGCAACCCTGGGGAAAGGTCCTCAAATAGTCATCTGCTTGCTAACACACAGACTCCCAAGTCCTCTTTCTCTGCCATTCTGATTCAGCGAGTTGGGGGTCATGTCCTGAAATCTCTATCTCCAGATTATCCTGACACCAGTGGTCCAACCTTAGACGAAAACTGGTCTAGAGAATGGTATAAATGCCACTGAGGACCCCCAATAATAAAGGAGATTCGAGAGAGTACACAGTTGATCTAGCAGCCTGAAAGGGACAGACTAGAAGAGATTCACAGCCCAGGGAGGGCCTGGTCTTTATTAGCAAACAGCACATTTGTTCCACCAAGAGAAGGCATGAGAGATTCAACAAATGAATAAAGATATTTGATGAATAGTCAGTGATGAGAAATTCAGAGAATTTGCCACAGAGAGGAACACACTTTACTAGACTCTGATTAGAAATTTAAAAAAATAAAATGCCTTTTTATTATTTCAAATCATTCTCATTTTTTAAAAAATACAGATTTTCACTAACAGAGAGGGTAACAATCTCAGAGAATTTTTATTTTCAATTTAATGCTTTGCAATCTGGGATTTACCATGATCATTGTGGTTTTAATGGCACTTAAATGATCTTAACAATAAAGTTTATTTTCTTGCCTTATTTCTTTACATATGCATTGGCACAGCGCAAAAAAAACTTAGTTATAAAAATAGATGGTTGCTGATTGCATGCACATTACAGCAGCTGGGTAACCATGTATTAATGCTACATAAAGCAGCAGTTAATTGCCTGAGAGAGTAAAAGTTATCTGGAGTACAAATGGAAGTTTATAATGTGAAATCTGTTTTATATCAAAGCAGTTTTTCTTTTGATTTCTTTACTAATCATCCTTCCAATTAGTTTGGTTTCTGATGTGAGATTATTTAAGATTCTTTATAAGAAAAAAAGCACAATGTTTAGCTTTTGACTAATCATGAGACATAACCAACAAGAGTTGGATTAGCAAATTTACTCCCTGAGTAAAAGACCAAGGTTTCCCAAACCTGTGTGCCCAGCCCCCTTCCTATCTTTATGCAACCTCTGCCCTTCCTCCGCTCATCTTTTTGGATAAAGTATGATTTGGCTTTTACATTTAGAACTTGTTCCAAACGCATTCATTCTTTGAGAGTTTTCACCAAGTTGTGACTCCAATAAACTGAGCTCTTGAAAATTACCTCCTTTCTACTTACAAAAGTATATGGATAAATTTTAGAAAATAGTGAATGGTACAAATAATATTGAATTATCTGTAACTTCACCATTCATAGGAAAGTATGGTTAAAATATCTATGTACAGCTTTCTAGACCTTATGAAATAAATATATGTACACGTGCATTTAATAAGAAAAATGAAACTATCACACACATACATGCAACATGTTTAATTTCTTGGAATTTTTAGTTTACTTTATTCTGTATAATAATTCTCATTATGTCAAAATAGACATCATCATGATTATTGGATGTTAAGTATGCCAATACGGATGTGTCATAATTTAAGTTACTCCCTATTAAACTATATATAGATATATTTACTTTAATTTTAAAAACATATTTACTTTTAATAGTCCAAGACATCATACATTTACATCTTGTGTTAAATTATCAACTTCTTTTAAAAAGATTACACTTAGATCCAGAATGAGAAGTTATCTTATGTTTAGTTTATAATAAGATTAATTTATAACTAAACTATCTTATATCACTATATATCATTGTTTTAAAATGCTTACATTATTATTTCAATAGAATATCCTCAAATGATCATTCCTTTAAGTACATACCTATAACCACAATAGACATTAATATCTAATATGAGTTGATGAAAAATCTTAAGAAGTTTATACATATTCAATAAGTAGTCCGCAGACAAAATAAAAGGATACATTTAGTCAACTATGTAATAATTGCCAAATGCTTAGTTGAAACAAACTGTGTTTTAGAATCACACCCTCTCAATCTAGACAAAGTTGCAAAATTGGAAACATTTTTTCTCACATTCTGAGGTTCTATGTCATTGAAAAACCATTCTTGCTGTTTCAAATGTGCTTTCAAAAGGAAAAGGGTATATGCAAAGGTTTCATTTCCATTAGGAACACTAAACATTTATCAAGCATAACAAGCAAATTCAAAAGACTTCATAAAAATTAATAGATAATTTAATAATACTGTGTACCGATCCATGTTATAAAATTTGGTTTTTGGCATCAGCGACAGAGGCATGAAACCAGCTGGTTTTAAACTTTGGTGCAATCTGACTACTCTATCCTTTAGATCACAACTTTGAGAAACTTGTTAAGACTTCAGCAAGTCATCTGTGGGAAGAGACCATGACAAAGGTCTATTATCAGCAGCTAAAACCAGGCCAGAAGCTGACTTTGGAATAGACCACCAATTGCTCAGATGTACATTCAGGCTGAAGCTGAATAAATTACAAACAAGTCCAAGAGAGCCAAAATATGACCTTGCATTTTTCCCACCTGAATTTCAAGAACATCTCCAGAACAGATTTGATGCACTGAACACTAATGACAGAAGACCTAACAATCTGTGGGAGGGCACCAAGAATACCCATCATACACGAAGAATGCAAAAGATTATTCAACAGAGGAAAGAAAGAAAAGGTCAGTGTGCATGTCAAAAGAGACGGAAACTTGCTCTTAAATTACAGAGTAGCTAGGGCAAACACAAGAAATGCTGAAGGCAAAGAACTGAGTAGAGACTCTCCAAGGTCAGCTTGAGAAGACAAAGTAAAATGTAATAACGAAATGTGCAAAGACCTAGAAAACCAAAAGGGTCAGCATACCATAAATTGAAAGAACTAAAGAAAAATTCAAGCCTCAAGATGCAATACTGAAAATGTTCTATGGACAAAATACTGAATGATGCAGGAAGCATCAAAAGAAGATGGAAAGAATACAGTCACTGTATCAAAAAGAACTAATCAACATTCAACATTTCAGGAAACAGGATATGAGAAAGAGCCAATAATGCTAAAAAAAAAGGTTCAAGCTGCACTGAAAGCATTAGCCAAAAGCAAGTCTCCAGGAACTGATAAGATACCAAGTGAAATGTTTCAACAGGCCGATGAGGCTCTGCCAGCACTTACTCATGACAGGAAATCTGGAAGACAGCTACACGACCAACTGATTGGAAGAGATGTGTATATGTATTCATTCCAAAGAAAAGTGCCCAACACAATGCTCAAATTACAGAACTGTATCATTGATATTACATGCAAGGAAATTTTGCTGAAGATCATCCAACAATGGCTGGAGCAGTTACACTGACATATTGACAGGAAGCTGCCAGAGGTTCAGGCTGGATTCACAAGAGGAAAAGATACAAGGGACATCATCGCTGATGGATCTTAGCTGAAAGATGGACATCATCAGATGGATCTTAGCTGAAAGCTGAAAATACCAGAGAGATGTTTTCTTGACTATGCCAAGGCATTTGATTGTGTGAATCATAAGAAACTATGAGAAGAATTTGACAAGAATTTCCAGAACACTTCAGTGTGCTCACGTGGAAACTGTACATGGATCAAGAGGGAATACTGAATGGTTTACAATCAGGAAAGGTGTGCAATCAGGGCTGTATCCTCTCTCCATATTTGTTCAATCTGAATGCTGAGCAAATAATGAAAGAAGCTGGATTCTATGAAGAAGAATGCAGCATCAGGATTGGAGGAAGGCTTATTAACAACCTGGGGTAAGCGGATGATAAGCAAACAACCTGGTCTGCTTAAAGTGAGGAGGACTTGAAGCACTTGCTGATGAAGATCAAGAAAAGCAACCTTCAGTATGGATTAGAGCTCAATGTAAAGAAGACTAAAATCCTCAAAAGTGGACCAGTAGATATCAACATGATAAATGGAGAAAAGATTGAAGTTCTCAAGGATTTTGTCTTGCCTGGATCCACAATCAATGCTCATGGAAGCAGCAGTCAAGAGATCAAACAATATGTTGCACTGTGTAATCACGAGAGATCTTGAAATTTCGTGTTGAAAAGCAAGGGTGTTGCTTTTG